GTTTTGTTTTCTCAAACGCTTACTAATAGTTTGTATGTTTCTTCTAATACGATAACGTTATTGTCTTTTAATAGGAATTAAATCGACAACAACACTAATTGCCAGATTAGATCGTAACCACAATACCTTGCTTGCATAGACTGCATATCATTTTAACAAAGAGTTACTCGCATTGAATATGGATGCTTGAGTTTCATGCACAGCACACACCACACACATTTATCATCTACTTGATATAACAGCGATTAGAAGTCGTTGACCTCCTCGACAGAAAATGAATCCCATCCATTAAAACCACTTTCTACAAGTCTTTAGCACTACGCGAGTCAAATGAGTGATTTTATTTAACGCTATCATTCCAACTATATCAACTTCTAAGATTTTGCTTTTCTAGTACCTGATATAAATAAAACAATATTTTTAAAACTTTCATGGTCACTAACATTATAGCTATTAACGGGATTGTTACCATGTACCTTGGTTTTTAAGAGTTTCCGATATTTCGGCACTGTTGCAAGTGCCATGTCAGTTAGTCCGCGATCAAGGTACATGGTAACAATCCCGTTAATAGCTATAATATAATAAATAAAATAAGTTTCTATACCGTATAGATCCTGGGTTCCGAACCTGGGGGTAATTACCCCTCGGGGGGTAAATCAGCCATACTTCGGGGGTAACAAAGAACCTAATTATTTGGTCAAATCTAAATAATAAGAAAATACTATATCTATATAATAATACTTCTAAATAGAGCATGCGCTCCTTCTTGCTAGCGAGCCAGCGGGGTGCTGAGTGTGGGAAGCGGGCCGAGATTTTTTCCTGATGATGACATTACGAAGATGTAGCGGCCAAATTGGAATTTCTTGGACTGATGATAACATTTTAAAGTCGGGGTAAAATCTGTTTTCCTAATAGGTTACAGGGGTAGCAGTATTAGAAAGGTTGGAAACACTGGTATAGATGCTCTGATTTATTTATTTATGACGATTCGAATCCTTTTCAGACTGCGTCGTCAGAATAAACAATGATTCTATTTAATGAGTGGTGTGCGTGAAATCTAAGAAACCAATATACTAATTAATATTCTCTTTAAAAATTAAGCAGGTAGTTAAGTTTATGTTTAAAATAAAAATAAAAGTTCTAAGCAATGTTTAAGTATTTTTAGTGGAAGCAAAATTATTATAGACTGATCTGCTTTATTGGGAGTTGTACACGAAATTTTAATGGTCATAATGAAACGTAGGGATGAGATCGATGGCGCAGGTGGTTAGCGTGATCGACTGCGATCTTTGAAGTCAACTTTCGCAGTGGTCGGTAATTGGATGGGTGACCAAAATATTCTATCTCGAGTTCCTCCGTGCTTCGGAAGCCAGGTTAAGCCGTTGGTCCCGGCTGCATCTGCAGTCGTTAGCACCCGTCAATCCGCACTGGTGGGTCATGGCCCAATCTCCCTATTCCATCCATAAAGGAGGCCCCACCAGTGGGGGCATTAATAGGCTGATGATGATGTTGATGAATGAAACATTAAAATATAACGTTTGTTATTGTAGAAAATTTATTTATTATTACAATATGAACTAGTTACCTTTATCTAGTTTTATTTTCTTTAGAATGTCGACAATGTAGAGTTACTTCTTCTCGTATCTTACAGCTGCATAATTCATCTTTGTGTCTTTTGATGCTAAATTACTCAAGGCAACCTAACAACCACACTCAAGATATCAATAAAAATGCTCAGAATTTCTCTATTTTTATTGCTATTAACGAAAATTGCAGAAAATTACAGACAATCTACCTTAAAAGTTCATTGACGTCTCTGTGTGGAAATGTATTTATTTGCCATACAGCAAATTCTGTTTTCTTGGACTGCTTCCAGTAACTATACAGGGCGTCCCACGGGCTTGTCTCATGCAGGGAAAGTATATTAAATATTCAAGATAGGATATTTCACTGAAAGAAGACATCATTTTATTTTTTTAAGATAACTACATACGTATTAGAAAACACTGGCTCACCCACTTTTACAATCTTATAATCAAAATATTAGTTTATAAGCGATTTTTACTGTGGTGTGTAACTCTTTAATTTATCCTGTATCCCTAGCATGAACCAATATCGAATTCGTATCGTTTGCGAGTCCTAAATGTCATTGTCAAATTTGTACTGATTTTTAGTTCTCGTTACGTACTTGTGCCGCTGCTGTTCAAGTTTCCGTACAAAATTTGACATTGACATTTCGTTTTGCAAACTATTCGAATTCGATAATGGTGCGTGCTAAGGAGTACTGATTATTCTTTTAACAAATTCTGACTGTTTACAGTACCCTTAGCACCGAACAATCATGTGACCGTCTTTTTTTATAAATAAACTAGCTGACTCGGCGAACTTCGTACCGCCCAAAAGTAATAATTTGCAATAAATTAAAATTGCGACTATAATTTGAGATTTAAACTATCCTATCTCTCAAGTTGGATCGAACTGCACATGGTGTGCGAATTTTATTATAATCGGTTCAGTGGTTTAGGAGTCCATTGAGGACAAACATTGTGACACGAGATTTATATATATTAAGATATTTCGAAAATAACGTAAGATAAGAAAAACAAACAGAAGAAAAAAAATAGGTAACAAATAAAGCCGCGGGCGGCTGAAGGACTTTACGTTTTCACATTTTTGTAGGTTTTTTTTCGAAACTACTTTTGATAAATGTTATTATTGACCAAGGGAACTTCCATACAATTTTAGCTCCCATGGGCATTAATAGCTTACTTTAAATTGAGAATACTTGACATATATAATACGTGCTCGAGCCAGACGCAGGTGGTGTATAAATCATATTTCTAGTATAATAATATTTAGGGCTGCCATCTCTAAAATGTGGTAACCAGGATAAAACGCGTGATAACCCCGGATTTTGGAGCCCAAAACCCGGACAGATAAATAAAAAATTGTTGAGAATATCACAAATCAACTTTTTTATGTTGATCTAGGCAAAAGAGCTAGCAGTCTACCTCATAATAAGTGGTCACTGCTGCCCATGGACACTTGCAGCACCAAGGGCCACTCATGCGTTGCCGTAAATTTTTAAACCCGGACTACAAATAAAACCCCGCCCGGACGCTCCCCGGACACCCCGTAAACTAGGACAAATCCGGGGAAACCCGGACGGATGGCAGCCCTAATAATATTAGTATAGATACCTATTATCTGAAACTTAAATAAACAGATATTTAACTTACAATTGAATTTCATTTTGTTGCCACGTACCTATACGTACTCGTTTCTGTAATTAGCATAGAATGTGATGTCGTTTTGAATAATCACGTAACATTTTAATTATGTAGCATTGTTTGAACGGAGGCCGTTTTATTAAATGAAAAAACTTATAGTGTTTTCAACTCTTACAATTTATCAAAAAGGTACCAATAATCATCTTGTACTTAAATGTTTTTTTTACGTTCAGTTGTTGACACAATTTTAATTGTTTACAATTTTTTTGACGCCTCTAGTATTATCTATTCAACGGACATACCAATTAAGTACTATCTCTCTCTATTAATAACCCATTAGTTCTCTATCTATTTAGTTATTGGGTGATCATTTTCCACTCAGTAAGCCAGTACATCGGAGGGCTGGTCTAAATCTCCGACGCCTCATGTGTCTCTAAACACTTTGTCTTTCTGTATGTGTTCATAAAACCACCAAAAAAATGTATTAAATAAAATGTATTTAGTTAGGCATTACAATAGAAGTATTACTATAGAAGTAGGCACGTTATTAATACGTAAGTTTCTGTTAAAAAAAGTATTTTAAATCTTTTTTAGATAGGTCCGACAAATGACTCTATCCTATCTGATATTAAGTGACGGTGAAGTCCAGTCGTGAAGATAGCTGGTACAGCAGTTCTACCTGCCACACCAGCCGTCCTCACTTTGCCGGCCTGCATGTTGCTTCTTCACGACTCTTATAAAGGATCTCAGAGGTTGTAAGAAGGATGAACACGTGAGCAGGCAGAGCATTCCATTTACGGATAACGACAAAGAAATGAGTTTTAGATAGTTATCTGATAAAATGATTTTTTCGTGTAGGCCAGCATTTAGTTAGACCTAATTTGGATTGAGCCATTAGATGTTTCATCAGATATTTAATTAACATAAGTATTTGGAATAATACTGCTTAATAGCCTATTTTAAGATTTGTCTCAAGAAAACTTAAGTAAGAATATGAAAATTTTGCAGTTTACCTAATGCTTAATAAATAAAAAAAAACACACATTAAATAAAACTAGTTTTTCACGGGTTAAATGCACGAAACTTTATTTATCTATTGAGATTTAATGAGTGATGTGCGTGAAAACGTAAGAAACAAAAAACATACATATACCTAAACATTATTATGTGACTTAAAGTTTCGTAATAATAAAATATTGGAAGTGAAAATGAATGCATGTAAACAAAGAACAATGCGGATTTACTTTCGTTTCACATGCACCTTCTACATGTATATAGTATATATGTGAACACGTAAAACCTTGAGACTCGATATCGCACAATGAACATTATGAAGATCTCTCACATATGTTTGTTTTGATATCGAACAACTCGGATATTTAGTCGCGTTGTTAGCGCAATTCAAGAACGAAATATAAAACACCGTATTTATTTACAGTTGAAACACGGTTTTTTTGACATAAACACAATAATTTATTGCACGTTCGTTCTTACGTTCGTTTTGTCCTCTAAGTTGTTCAACAGAAATGATATACACTTTAAGATATCTACGAGTTGTTACGATTAATAAATCGGTCGACGGTTGAGCAACTATGCTGATATTTATCTCGAAACTCTTTAGTTACTTTGTAAAGTCTCGCAAAGAATCTACTTAAAATACACGATATCCGAGAGCGATGACAACTCAATTTTTAATTGATTTCTTTAGATTTCTACCTGTCCTAATTTTTGAGATAGACTTCCTGTCAAAGAGGGAGGAAAGATTTGTACCTTGTCAAGGTAAGGCCAAACGCCAGTCAGCACTATACTGAAGCCCAATGACATCTGGAACATAGTGAAGTAGATGATGTAGACGCTGCGCCATCGCTCCCGGCGCTCCTGAGCGGTCTCCAACGCGCTGTCCCCTTCCCCCGGCCTGTCCCGGCCTCTCCCCTCCATCGTGTCCCGGCTTCTCCGCGCGCCCTTCAAACACTTCATTCAATCTCGTCACACTGTTTATTTATAGCGGGGCATTCTTGTCTACGTGAATGGGACGCGCGATCGCGGTTGTAAACAAAGAACGTGCCTATATAAAAAAAACATGCGCGCGCGCAGCCAAGCGGCGGTGCAGCGCGCGACTGGCGGCTTACTTTACTTGGATAGTGACAGAATCAGCAGCGTTTGTATTTCATTGGACAAATAAAGCCAAAAAGCGCTTTATTTCTTTACGGTCACTGAATGCATTCCGATAAAGTATACATTGTTTAAGGATTGGTATACGACAAACGTTACATTTTCACATGTCTAGTAGTAGGCACAGATTAGAATCCCAAATTCGAAATTAAAGTATTTTTCTTCACAAATGAAGACAATCCGTTATAGATATATAATATCAAAAACCTAGATATACTTAAATAAGTAAACAGGAACATGCGTTTGAACACAAAACAAACAACATAATCCATACTTCCTGATAAGCAAGTGGACATGTCAAATATTTCGTAAGTTACTGTCGTTATCGAACTCGCAACTTGGTAACGTGATAAAACCATCGAAATTCCATGTTAAACGTTTGGTAATACTTATGTATTTAGAAGTTAAGTGAATGATTTCGTGCTTTTAAGCTTAGATCACGGAGCACCCCCACTAGAGTCCGCATACAAGGGCAAGCGCTTACGCTAAGCTTAAGTAGTATTTTACTTATGCGTGAGGCACGCCTACCGACGTCGCGATACATCGTTTCATTCGGTAACCGAGCGTTGGTCGAACTGCTTCTCTCGTTTTCGTGTTAAAAAACTGTAAAAAATGCCGTACTATGCAATTAAATTGTGTGGAAAGTCGAGTACATCTTCCATTCTTCAAAAAAATGGTATTACTTTTCACTGGTTAGTTTAAATGCATTACAAAAAGACAAAAATACTGTTATATTAAATTGATGTTAATTGTATTTATTTTTTGGTGAACGCGTTGATGTCTTTTTACACTATCCCTTTCTCGCATGGGCTACATCATATATGCTATCTCGCTCTCACACCGGCACGTGTATTGCTAGTGACTCAGACGCAGCTCATGTCTCAACGCGTAAGTTTATCGATAAGTTTGTCAGCTATGGAAATGGAAAAAATAAATAAAAACTATTTATTTCATCGTATACAATAATAGATATCATATCATATCGTATATCATATAGTATACAACCAACACTTTTTATTTGACTTCAAACATATCCTAATAAAATTGAAAAAACGCGAAAATTTGTATGCATATTTGTTACTCTTTCACGCTAAAACGGTTAAACGGATTTGTATGAAATTAAGTGCGCATAGTTTATGACCTAGATAAAGACATAGAATTAACGATATTAAATACCCTAGATACACCACGTGCGCTCAAAATGTGTCCCAATCAAGAAGTGCTTGAACTCCACTCAAGCACTTCTTAGTACACAGTCACACGCGGACCGTTGAAAAGTCAAGATGCCAAAGAGTTCCGTGAAAAAATGCAGAAAAATACTAATAGTACGTAAAGTGTCGTTTTTTCGACGGGTATCTAAATTAATGTTTTTTAATTAACGCCTTTAAAGCAAATTTTATTGTTGTAATACTTACTATAAACTGATTGTGATATTCAAATGCATGGTCGGTTATACGTCGCCCTTAGCCATCTCTTTTCTTCGCGGTCTGTACCTGCTATATTGCTAACAGCGCATTCAGAATTGCGCGTGAAAAGTCAAAAAAAATAAGGTCTATATTCTTTCACATAATAATAAATCGTAAAATTTTACGAACTTGAGGCATTGTCCTAATACAACGCGATAACGCGAATGAGCGATGCGATCATCGTACGACTCGACGATCAAACATATTGAACTAAAATGTTTAAAAATCTATTCGCGCGAACTTAGTTCGCGCGAACGCGCAATCAAACCTATTAATGATGAATAGGTGTCCTAACTAAAGTTCGCGCGATGATCGCGTCGCGTCGGTAGGAAGCGAGGAGAGGGGCAGGACTAACCCGTACCGTATTCGCGTTCTATTAGGACACCCAGTTCGCGATCACGCGATGGTCGCGTCGTTTAAACGCGCGATGATCGCGTTATCGCGTTGTATTAGGACAATGCCTGACGCATGCATTTTAATTAAGACCTTATGCCGTATGCATTAAAGGTGACTTTTAATGTTTAAATAAGGCATTATATTGTTTTTGACCACGCGATCATCTTACGGACCTCCGTGGATCGTCCATGTACCTTTTGGACACGTTTCGGCCACGATTTTGTTCGTGTTGTTGTATCTAGGGTAGTTAATATCGTTGCATTAATACTTCTTGTCCTGGACGTGTTTTTTTTTGTGTTGCTTATATATAATTTAGTATGTAGTTACTAGTCGCGTCATGTAATTAGAACGCTGGAAGAAAGTGGAGATGGTATGATCACGCATTTGCGCACCAAAGTACTAGGCCTCTATTCTAAATTGTTTATCGATAGAAAATATCGATATTTTCTAAAATCGATCTTACCCTCATCACTTCGCTGCACTGAGTATATGATCTGACCTTGACGCGTCCAATCACAGCGGGGCTGACTTCCCTGCACCCCACCGACTTTGGCGATTTTGATTCCAAACAAAATTTGTGTGATGCGGACTCTAGTGGGGGTGCTCCATGGCTTAGATGTAGCGTTGCCTCAAAACGCTACATGAACATGCCGCAACGTGACTCAAGGCAGCGCAGCGTGGCGATGGTAACACACCCGCATTCCCCATTCCCCTTTTTTCTTTTTCTCCAGTTATACGAATCACTAAACTTTTATTGATTTTAACATTAACTAATAATTTTACAATGGGCGATTTGACTTTGTTTCTATTTACTTATCCATTTGATATTACTGTTTTCATTTTTCTCTTTTTCTGTTTTTCTTAATTTTATTGAATTGCATGACTTGCCGGCGTTGTGGATTTTGCTGTAAGCCGGCATGTGTAACTGGAATGAAAATAAAATAAAGGTACCAAGCACAGGGTTCATTAACCAAGGAACCTGACATCAAAGAACTAAGAAATTATTTTTATGAATGTCATGGCCGTTTGCACCATTACGAAGGAGTAAACGTAGAAACACGAATCCCTAACTATTTAGGTATTTTAGGTAATACCTAAGTGTCAAATTAGTTTATGCCAAAATTCACTATGATCCTAACTTGGTAAGTCAATCCCCTAAATTTTATGACGGCGAACTATGGAGCGCGTACCTAGAATTAATCAGTGTTGTGGTGAACTATGTATTCTATTAATAACGCATACTTTTGATAACCAAAGCACTACGTGTTCGCTTCGAATTGGCTACTTCCACCCTCCCAGCTTCAGAATACCGCGCCTTAGACAGTCCCTATTAGTCGACCTTATTTGACGATGGTACCAGTTGATGTGCCTGTGATTGGCCATCGACGGCCAACTTGAAGCAAACGAGTAGTCTTTAACGCCACTAATGTGATTCAATTTTTCTTTACTTTGTTTTTAACCTCCCTATTTTCTTGTATACCTACTTTTATCTTTACTATCCTTCTATGCTTCCTCTTTCAGACTTCTGCCCGTGCCCCTGGCTGTATCAAATAGCAGCCTCGAGCACGGACAGTATATTATTAAACATGTTGAAATTTGATTAAAAATAACATAATTAAAAAGACATATTGTAAATAATCGAATAAAAAAATTATGAAAAAAAAAAAAAAAAAAAAAAACAGTGTTGTGAATTTTTTACCAATTATGGAAAGTTGCCTTTTCATAAATATTGTAAATTATAACAAGGACAAACATTTACTTGCTTGATTCTAAGTTCATTTTCTTATTATTTACGAGTATTCAAAGTTAACAACATCTTACGACTTTTATGTACTTATGTGCCAAAATTTACTTTAAATAGTAGATGTTGATTTTAGCTTTAGACATCTCAAGACAAGGCTTCCGATTTCGGTAGCTGCCATTTTAGACATAAGTTTGATATGCATTACCCCACTACCCGACAAAATGTCGCTATGTCTGTAAAAGCAGCCAGTATTTGATATTTGACAGTTAAAATCCGAATAAATAAGATCGTAGGTGAGATTATTTTCATCTTATTGTACCTATGCTGAGCGAAAGATTGGTGCAAACGGATAAAAAGTCATTATTTTTGTCAACTTTAACTAGATCTCCACATACTAAACGCCGTACTCTAGCTAGAGTCATTCTCAATGTCACGTCACTTTACAGCGTTTTATTGTTATTATGATTCGTTTGGCTAGAGCAATTAGAGCGTGTTAACTATTATTTAAACAGATGTCATTTACACATCGACGAATCTCGTGAAATATTCTCTATGATGTGATTATACCATAAAGAATTGATAAGTTTACACAGAGTATGAAAGAAAATAACTTTTTTAGTTTTTTCTTTATTAGCTTCTTTTGTAATAATTCAGAACATAATTATTCTTCAATTAAAAGAACAATAACAAGTCATATAAAATGTGTTTTTTTTTTTATTATTTTAAGGCTTCTCGGTTGAAAGGCATTAACGGTAGGAAGAGCTATATGGAAACTCGACTTTATTAATAGTAAAACCATTTTTTTTATTTACTCAAGTCGCAATATTCGAGTCACGAATTTTGCATTACAGCATTGCTAGCTGTATCGTAAAATAACCTTTCAATCTTAAGATTTTTTTTACTAGAAATAATTCCACGTGGACCGGCATCAGACGGGACTCGAACCCTCCAGGTCTTCAACCATTTTCTTCGTCCTTAAATAGATAAGGCATTTGCAAGGCGCAGTTTATTTTGTATTTTTAATAGTATATGATTGTGTATTACCGCCCCCCAGATACAGTCCACAGTGTATTGAGCACGCAAAATTATTATTTTTCAAGTTATGGGGGTTTAGGCACCTCCAGTAGTTATAGCATCGCACTACATAATGTAAATGTAAA